AGGGAAAGACCTTCGTCTGTTATGATGACCTCCCCAAGCTGCAATATCTCGAATGGACACTGAAGGAGGCCCTTCGTCTTCATCCTCCTGCTCAAGGATTGGCGCGGTTCAACCACAAAGAAATTGAGCTTTCAGGATACAAAATACCAGCCGGTAGCCGTATTGAAATGAGCATCTTCACAGCTCACAGATCTGAAAGCAACTGGACCAACCCTGAAGTATTCAATCCTGAGCGATTTGCTGATCCCAACTCAATTCCTTTTGAAACCTATTTTCCATTTTCAATGGGTCCAAGATCATGCATTGGCAAGAACTTTGCTCAGTTTGAGTCTAAGATCATCATGGCTCGTCTTTATCAGGAGTTTGAGTTTGAATTGGTATCAGACAAACCCTTGCGGTATGAAGAAGCAATTACAGTAAGACCAAAAGATGGTGTATGGTGTAGGGTGAAGAGAAGGAAGTGATCTGCAAACAATTCCTGAGTGATCTTGTTCTTRACTAAATGAAAGAAACCAATATCACAATACATGTGTCGAGATAAATAAAAATAAATAAAAAAACCCGCGCAGTCTATCTTTGCACACTTTCGATACATACCTTCCTCATTTGAGTATCGTTGCCTCAGTCGGGCTACCTGTGTATCATCATCTGATAACATGGATCRAGGTATTCTGAAGTGGATTCCTTTTCCGCTTCAAATGTTCGAAGCTTCAGCATGTCGTTTCTCTTATTAGTAGTGTACATTCTCTTGTTTTTTCTTTTGCCTTTCGTCTTGGCTTTTTTGGTTTTTCTTTTATATTTACGCCATGTTCGTACTAAATATCGTCATCTTCCAAGTCCTCCCTTTGATAGTTGGTTGATGGTGCATCTTCCAATAATCCAAAAAAAGCAATGAGAAGGCAAAACACTCAATGAGATATTTCGTGAATGGTTTTCCCAACATGAAAATTTGTTTGTGTTTTGGGTAGTCCATATCCCTATGGTAGAGGTATCAGGACGAGAGTTGGTTAAGAAAACCAGCGTCACTTTGAATTTACCAAAATCCAGGGCAGTTTACGACAAGTTCGCTTGTGTTTACAATACCAGAGCGTTAGGAAAAGGACTTCTTACAGAGTGCGACACGCAAATATGGCTTCGTAAAAGGATGGTTCTTAACCCAGCGTTTCACAGGAAATATTGTTTGAATTAGTGTCAGACAAACCAATGTGCTATGAAGAGGCACTGACAATAAGACCGAAAGATGGAGTTTGGTGTACAGTTAAAAGAAGGCAGTGATCACCAAAAAAATTATATTTAATCTTGTTCTAAATGGATGAATAAAAGCATTAACATGTGTCAAGTTTCATAATATATTATGGGTAGCCTTTTTTTAATTCATGGTCCAGCTATCCCTGCAATGCCATTCCTACTGGGGCAAGTTAATGGTTGCACCATGTACCAGGCTCAAACTTTACACACACTGCTCTCATGAACGTTTTATATGAATTTAGAAAATTTCATTGACTAAAACTTGGTGCTATTGATTCCTCAACCTATATTTCCGTCAGAAGTGTACGTATAATGGCTTCATGAATAATCATGGATAAAGTTCATGAGAATAATCTTACATCACAAGTGTACGTGAAAGCCTTCTATATGCTATATGTATGACSTACGACAGACTCCACTAGAGTCCATCTTCTGAGTCTGTTCTGAGTCATTTTCTGTTGTGCGAAAAGACCATCTGATTTGGGTTACCTGTGTATTGCTACTTCCGTTTTGTTTATCGYAARAAGTATRTCATTTCTCTCATTTGTAGTGTATRTTTTCTCGCTTCTTYTTTTAGCTACTGCGTCGGCTTTTATAGCTTTTACTTTGYATTTGCGCCACRYTCGTGCGAAATACGAACATCTTCCAAGTCCTCCATTCGATAGCTGGTTGTTGGGGCATCTTCCCACTCTCAAGAAAAAGCGACAAGAAGGACAAGTATTCTATTGGATATTGCAAGAGTTGTCMATGGAACATGGGAATCTTTTTGTGTTTTGGTTTATTCACATACCTGTTGTAGTGATTTCAGGTCCGGAGTTGGTTAAAAAAGTCCTTGTCACTTTGAATTTGCCGAAATCGCGACCAATTTACGACCATTTGGGCTCTGTCTACAATACCAGAGTGGCAGGCAGAGGACTTGTTACAGAGTGCGACCCGCAAATATGGCTTCGMAAGAGAATGATTCTCAATCCAGCATTTCACAGGAAATATCTTACGAATTTCATACCTGAATTCAACTCGTGTTGTGACAAGCTTATTGAAAAGATTGGTACATATGCAGATRCAAATGTTGCAGTTRATTTWGCWGARGAATTTCAAAGGGTCACCATGGACATCATTGCAAAGGTTATTCTTAATATGTCACAAGGAAATATTTAATTCCCTAAACTCATATGGTGCCATTTTTCTATCAACAGGTTGGCTTTAACATGAATTTGAATGCCGTAMAAGACAAGAATTGTTCATTTTTAAAGGCCAACTATTTGGTTATGAAAGGTGTACAAGAGTCACTCAAGGATATGTTTTCAAAAATTAATATCCCAACATATCCATTCCAGCGGAGGGTTATTCAGGCAGCGAAGTTTGTACGAGAATTGGGACAAAAGGTTATTGAAGAAAGAATTACTGCCATCAACGATGGGAAGACTGCTCCTAGTGACATCCTTCAACACATCATTCAAATGAAAGCAAACAATCCTTCTGTGACAATGGATGAAATGGTTGATGAATTTGTTACTTTCTTTTTGGCAGGTA